CGAATGTCTCCTTGCTACCGCGACCTCGCCCACAGGAAGCCGCGACCGCGTGGCAGCAGGGAAAATGGCTGCGGATCCGGTTTGTAAGCAGAGGCGTTTGTAACCCAAGGTAAAATTTTCCTGCTGAAGCTGGTCGTAGCCCGAAATGTTCGTTAGTAGAGGCGTTCGTAACCCGAGGTACCACTGTACTTTTTGAAAAGAAGAATGGCTTATTATGGGTGGGTATCCTCCCATGAAGTCATTTTAAGAGAAATCTCTACATACATAGGATGCAAAGTCTTTTGTTGATTGGGTGGAAGATCTCACCCAGCAGAGAATACTGTGCTATCTAGCATTTACTTTCGTGGATGTACAACAACAAATAAGCATGGACATGTTTTGAAGAAAACTCAAAACCCATCTCCGAAGACTGGATGGTTTGCTGAAAACATGGCACACTCTTCATAACCATGATACTCTTTGGACATCTTGACCTCAGAAGATTTTGCATACCCCTTAAATTTATAATCAGTCCCCTTCCTATTTTCCCTGTCTTTAAATAAAATGGTGTCTCTGAAGAACTGGCTGGTGAATTCTACTCCTAAACCTTCCTGGTGCTTATTTCTAGGTACCTCCCCATGCCAGATGTGTGCAGAGTTGCCAACATGGATTCAGCAGGGTTGTTCAGGAGGGGAAGCATGCTTGTTGCTACAATTGCACCAAATGCCCTGAAGGAAGAATTTCAATTCATATGGGCAAGTAAAAAAATACAATTATACAGGAAGAAATTCCAAAGCTTTCAAGCGTATCCTTTTTTCATTCATTCTAATTTTTTTTTATAGTACATTGTGGAATAGATTAATTCCAAACTACTACAGAATAGGGCCAGGGGTATGCTAGAGTAGCTTTTTTTTATTTTTAAAGGAGGTAATTTAAATACTGGCTTGCATTTTCTATATTATATTCTCCTTCACTATGCTGAGAGATGCAGTGGTTTTCATAAAATGGAAAGAGGAAAATAGCCTGCAAATGCTATGGAAATTAAATTTGATACTTTGGATAAGACAAAAAAAAATGCTTAGAATTACGAAAGCATTATTGTATAAGAGGAAAGGGGTATGTGAGTGGACTCACCAAGTGTGATTTCTCTACATTACTCTGTAAAATGTTCTTTATATTTGGAAATGACAAGCCTTCTTCATGTATTTCAGATGCAGACCAATGCGAGAGATGCCCAGAAGATCACTATTCCAATGCAGAAAAAGACCAGTGTCTTCCCAAAGGTTTCAGCTATTTGTCCTTTGGTGAACCCTTGGGAGTCATTCTGACTTCCTTGATTCTCTTCTTTTCTGCAACCCTCCTTTTAGTGGTAGTGACCTTCATTCTGCACTGGGACACCCCAATTGTCAAAGCCAACAACAGGAACATCACATGCATCCTTCTCTCCTCTCTCCTCCTCTGTTTTCTCTGCTCCCTGCTCTTTATTGGTTGGCCAGGGGAGGTGACTTGCTTTCTCAGGCAAACTCTGTTTGGCACCATTTTCTCCCTCTGTGTTTCCTGTGTCTTGGCCAAAACCATCACAGTAGTTCTAGCCTTTTTGGCCACCAAGCCAGGAAACAGAACGAGGAAGTGGCTAGGGAAAAGACTGGTAGGATCAACCATTGTCCTCGGCTCCTTCATTCAAGTTGTTATCTGTATAGTGTGGTTGGTCACATCTCCTCCCTTCCCAGAGCTGGACATGCACTCCGAGACTGATAAGATCGTTGTGCAATGTAATGAAGGCTCAAATATGATGTTCTACATTGTCCTGGTCTACTTGGGGCTGCTGGCCACCATGAGCTTCACTGTGGCTTTTTTTGCTAGGAAGCTGCCAGATACTTTTAATGAAGCCAAGCTGATAACTTTCAGCATGCTTGTGTTTTGCAGTGTTTGGGTGTCCTTCATCCCAACCTATCTGAGCACCAAGGGAAAATACATGGTGGCTGTGGAGATCTTCTCCATCTTGGCCTCTACTGCAGGTCTTTTGGGTTGCATCTTTCTCCCCAAGTGCTACATCATAATCTTGAAGCCACATCTTAACACAAGACAACATCTGACGAGGAAGATAATTTAATGGTTGAATCCAACTTGAATCCATTTCTATTTTTCAGCATTTTTCTGGTGACCCAGGGTGTTCATGGGGGCAATCTGAATATTCAAGATGTTCAACCATAAACATGCAAACCCTTTCCCTATTTGTGATCTTTGCCTGTCTAATGAATACAATGAAGGTCTAGGACTTTCATTACTGAAACACAACTTCTACTCTAGTACTTTGGGAACTAGAGAGAACAAGTGCTGTTTTGGCCAAGGCAGACATGCAAAACCACTTTGCTGAAATAAAAGTTTCACAGATATCAGCTAGGTCCATTCAAAATCAAACTAATTTAACCCATACAGAGCCATCTTTTTTATTGGTTGGAGGAACAAGACTGGCTCTTCCAGAGCTTCTTTGGGATTTTGGGATTTTATTTCTTCTAGTTATTGGGTACCTCTGGAGAACTCTGTATTATGTGTTTTAATTTTATATTTTATTATCTTGCTAACTTGACTGCTTCATATGTAATGGAAGTTGCTCAGAGTTGCTTATGACTGCAGTAGCATAGAAACTACAACAAATAAATACACCCAGAAAGAGTTTTGCATGAGTAGATGCTTTATGTCTATGGACTGAGTGGACTCTAACATTCTGTGACAGCGATTTCTCACTACCTTATGCTTCTAGATCATTATCCCCTCCCATCCTTCATACTGTCCCAGAGATCTGGGAGTGGGCCCCTTTCCAGTTCTGAGACCCCTTTTGCTACCCTACAAATTTTGGCATGGCAATGTGAGAAAACCAAGCAAGGCACACACAGGCAGACACACTCATGCAAGTGAATCCTAATCTGAATATGAAAAATATCAAATTTCAGCTTTGAGCTAGAAACGTAGCCAAATGCCTCCTCCAAGCACATCAACCTCCAAGAACACACCTGAATTGTGGGCATTCCTGACTCCCATCTAACGTGGTCAGTTGCCGTACCATTAGGTTGATTCTGGGAGTCAGCCTGATGAACAATATGAGCTCAAGTATGATGTAGTGGATGGCAGACTTTTCAATGCCTTTGGCATTTTGCCCAAAGATGAGTAAGAAGAGCTTCTACAAAGGCTTGCCAGACTATTGCTACTGCTGAAGCACTGTTAAAGCTTGTATCAACTGATTCCCCTGGTTCTCCCCCTCTTCCAGAAGTTGAGCCAGCAAGAACTCAGCAGAGTTCATTCCTGTCTAGAGGAATGAGTCACCTACTGGTACAGAGAAGTGTCTTGAAGGATCCTTTCCAGAGAGATTGGCTCCTAACCTTTCCAAGACCTATTGTATTTGGCATTCTCTTCTAATTTGGACAATTCTGTTGATTTTCCTAAAATAGCTGGAAGAAGGGCAAATACTTGCCTTGGGAATTGTTTTTCATGGCCCAGAGCTGACCTAGGAGAAAGTTGTCTCCTGCATGCTGTGCTTATTGAGTTGGACAGAGGTCTGTCCTCACTTGCACTCAGACATGGCTTCACTTTTCCTACCATGTCCCATGACATGACTTTCATCTCATGTCCCATAAGCGTTTGAGAAGACACACTGAATTTAGTCATCTTTGGCTACCCTGACATGAAAGAAGCATTTCCCCTTATTTGGATACTCTCCATGGGCTGCATCAAGAGGGCTAAAATTTCTTTGGCTTTGTCACCCTTGGCAGGGAAGAATGAGGACCTGGAATGACCGGGAACAGAAGCAAGAGATGCAGGAGAAAGATCAGCAACAAGAGAGTCAATTTTATGCCAATGCAATTTTCTGCCAACCAAGGATATGGTGTTTTAGTGTGGTAGTGGCATGTAGTGGCTAATTTATTTTTTTATTTTATTTATTTATTGGATTTCTCCCCTGCCCATCTCCCCCACAATAGGGGACTCTGGGCAGCTTAC